AGTTTGCAAGAGGCCAGGCTAGAAGGATTGGAGTAGACAGGATCCCACCCCCACCCCACTCCCATGGGGGAAACTTCACTTCAGGCCTGGGAGGTGCCACCTGTCAGAGCTCCACGTTAGATACAAGAGGAATCAGGGTGGCATAGTCAGAGGAAAGAGGGCTCAGTCAGTGGACGGGAAACAAGTCAATGTGTTGTTGGGTCACTCAAGTGCTACCCTGCAGTCAAAACTGAGGCACGCAAGCCTTTGCCACTGGCTCACAAGGTCCTTAGCCTTGCCTGGGAAGAGGTGTCACAGTCCTCCCTCCCAAATGAACTTGGAGCAAGACAGACCAAGCAGCTGGGTCTAGGGCAGCATCTACAGGGCCTGCAACACCCACGGGGGCCCTGGAACACAGAGAGCTAGTTTTCCTAGGGATCCTTCTCAAGCTACACCCTAAGCACTCCCTGGGTGACCGGGCTAAGCGCTCCCCGCCCAGGAGAGGACTTGTTTCTCCTCCCTCACCCCTCCCCAGTCCTGATACCTACACACTAGCCTAGCAACTTCCTCCTGCTACCATACACACACTCCACAGCCAGGGGTACTTACAGTATTCGACTATCTGAAATCTCATGCCCAGTCCCTGGACCCAGAGATGTCTGTGGACCTTCTGTTCTCCCTCCTTCTAAAGGACAACAGGGACAGTAGCTGAGAGCTGTCTATTTGGGATGCTGAACACATATATTTGAGCTCTGGGCCTTCAGTCAACTAGTTGTGCATCTGAGAGAATCACTTAACCTCTCTGAACTTCCAATACTGCAAGAGCAGGCTTGCGTTCAGATTACAGGTCTGTCACTTGCCTGGATTAGCCAGTTTCTTGGCATTCTGTCTCCTGCAAGGCAAGGATAAACCTATGATAATATTTTTTTAAAGTCAATGTATCAGCATAAGAATTAAGTGTGGCTGAACACTTGGCCTGGTACATAGGACAAGGCCAGAAATTAACTGTGCAAAACATCTGAATACGGCCTTGTGAGGTGCTCTGGGAATATAACTTTTTGAATCTTGGCTCAGTTGTTCCAGGCTTTCTCCTTTGTAGAGAGAAACAAGATACAGAGGTGCATGTTGTAATGTGAGTGACAGCGGTCCTCAGAGAGGCAGGAGGAAGCTAGTGGCAGAAAACTGTGTGCCATTTATTGAAGCTGTCCTGGCCTTTTCAGTTTCTAGGGTCAGGAGGAAATGTGAAAAGTAGGATAAAGAGGGTTTCTCTCTCTCTCTCTCTCTCTCTCTCTCTCTCTCTCTCTCTCTCTCTCTCTCTCTCTCTCTCTCTCTCTCAGGTGCCTGAAGTAGAAAGACAGTCAACATTGGCATTAACTGGCCTCTCTTGCTGCCAGGCTTCCGGGAGCTGTGCATGTTATCTCTGTGTGCCCCTGGAAAGAACTGGGTGACACTGTGTCTTAGGGACACAATGATCTTAGGGTGACACTGCTTTAGAACAGGTTCTAAAGGCAAGAGGAGGGAGGGGCACACACTCCAGCAGCAGATGCAGAACACATCTGACTTAACAGAGAATAAGAGAAGGTGAGTGGCATGGGTGTGTGTAGGGACGAGTTTGCCCTCTGGTAGAAGGTGGCACCACGCGTGACCCTCAATGATTGAATTTAAATTCCAGTCTAAAAATGTTGCATTCACAAACATGCCTTAACTCCCTTCCAGCTTAAACCCCTTCAGAGTGGGATGCACACAGTTCTCTCCATATTCGTCATTTCCTCTCTCCTCCAAGATTAGAGTCCTCCTCTGGCTTTGGCTGTGGGAACACCCTCTTCTCTTGTCTTCTCCACTCACTAATTAATAGGAAAATCAACAATGACCCCCCCTCAGCAAGTCATACAGGAAAACATGGCCTCAAACAGCATTGGGGACCACGTCCTTGTGCTCCTCACTCCGTGGTCAGACAATGCTGAGGCGGCACAAGCATCGCAGGGCCATTTCACAAACTTGCGGCTCTCGGTGCACTCTCCACGCAGATCCTGACTAAAAAATGCTGTTAGCAGAAAGGTGAATCGAATCAAATCAAACCAATTCCTCAGTGTTTGACCCCAGGGGCAAAGGAGACACTGGTGAAAAGGAGCCACAACTTGGAAAAAGATTTATTTTTCCTGGCCATAAATCTCACCCCTTGTTCCTCTGCCCAACCAAGCATGATAAAGTCCTTTTCCATAAAGTATTCAGCATTAGAGCCACAAAGCTCCCCCAATCAGCAGCCATCTGCTTCTACCATAACTGCTGCTGCTCCCGAAGCAGGGAAAGCAGCCATAGAGAAAGGGGAGCGCTGCTAGGCTCCTGGACAAATGAGCCTGAATAGCTCTGCTTTCCCTTCTGTATCTGTATCTATAGAGACAGGAGAAGAAAGGCCGCATTATATTGATACAACAATTGTAAAACAAAACACGGAAGAGGCATCTAAAGGGCAATATCGCATGCATCAGGGGTCCTCAGATAAAAGGGGAGCTAACAGATTTATAGAAACCTATAATTGGTTTTCAATTGAAAGCTAAAGAGGGTGGGGTGAAGCCGCGGAGAGCCGCAAAGTGCTCTCTGGTTCAGCCGTCTGGAGGCGTGAGCGATTTCACGGAATGAGAAAAGGAACGCAATGGGCCTTGCCTCTTGCGCCTGGGAGCTATGGGGCTGCTTTTTTTTCTCTCTCTCTCTCTCTCTCTCAATCTCTCTCTCTCTATCAGTAAGGGGAGAGAGGAGGAAAGAGTGCAGAAGCCAATGAGAACTTCCTAGCTCCTGGTTGGAGAAATGTGTTCAACAGGGGAGACTACATCTGGGCTCTAGTTAGCACAGCCAGGCCTCAGAAAGAAAGGGGAAGCCCCGCCTCCCACTCGCTGCTCTGCAAGTGCAGACTCAAACTGCAGAAGGGGGTCTTTCAGTACTCAGGACCGACAGTGGTCCTAGCCGGTGCATTTCGCGCCTAGCGGGTGTATTTAGCGCCCTGGCAGCCGCCGCCCCCCTCCCGCAGCGCCCACCCACACAGCAACTCCGGACGTCGGTCCGTCTGTTCTTAAAGCTAATTTATTGGCCCAGCCCTCCATTATCATTTTCAGCTTCCTAATTAATCAAAGATAAAAGGCAATGGCGCAAATTACGATTATGAGGGAACTGGAAGACGGTTTTGAATAAAATGGGAGAAGTGAAATATGATTAATTGGACGACACGATAGTGAAATCTCAAGTGCGAGCAACAAGCCCCAGAGGGGCAAACCCTGATTCTTGAGAGCCGACCCGAACCAGGGACCGGACCTACATGAGGTCACGTGGGCTCGAAGCGTGGAGGGGGAAGGAGTTGGGTTTCAACTCCGGTTCCTAACCTGCCTCAGTGCCTCGGTGCAAGCAAGCGCCCCCAACCCCCACCGCAGTGCCGCCTCTCAGGTCCAATTCCAGGACTCCTCACTAGAGTTACCCCCTAGTAGTTGACGTGCACCCCAGTTTCCCGTTTGTCTCCGCTCACTGCTTCTTCTCTGCCCTCTCCTGTTCCTTTACCTTGGCCAGGGCTTCGTGTAATTTCAGGAAAGCAGGTTCAGCAGATCGTAAGGGATCAACAGAGCCCTTGTCCTAGGCTGCTTTTCAGAACTATGTGCAGGATTAAAAGGTAGACACCGCGCGGGCTCAGTTTGCACTCGCTGCACCTCGTGATTAATGTTTCCGAGGGGATTTATTCTGAGAGCTTATGGAACCTGCTCTCGGGGTCTAAAGCCCAGTGGCTGCGGCGCAGCGGCCCGAGAGCCCTGTGAGCACACGCCGGGACACTTGGGGATTAGAGGGGACGTCAGATGGGCGCTCAGGGGCGTCCTTGAGTGTCTTTTCTCCTTCTCGACTCTCAGCCCCAGCTTAGATAGAAACAGAGAAGACTGGTCTGGGAGGGGGACTTTAGGTCATTGGGGTGTCTTCGTAAATGCATGTGTAGAACGTCCCGAGTGCGTCGGGCGGAAGGAGCTCAGTAAAGGGAAACTGAACTTCTGTCCTGCAAGCGGAACCAGAACCCCACATTCTGAAGATGCGCTGCTCCCCACCATAGCACTCACTCCCAAATTAAACACCCCATTTCTCCCACCGTCATCAGAGGAGAACCCCAACTTCCTGGGGTCATACTCCCGCCCGGCTGACTGAAGGCGCCATACGGAGCAACAAGTCTGGGCAGGAAACCCATCCATTGCCCTCCACATCACTTCCCCAAAACCTTCCTGAGTCACAGTCGGGACTCCTGAATAGGGGAAATTACCGAAATGCGAGGGTGGAGGCTATAGTAGAAAAAGAACCAGGCGAGGAGGAGGGAGGGAGAGAGAGGAAAAAGGAGAGAGAGAAGAGGGAAGGGCAGGGGAGGAGGGGAGAGGAGGGGAGAGGGGGGGGGAGAATGGAAATCGAGTGGAGAGCAGTGAGAACAGAAGAAAACTGGAGAAGTGGGATGTCTCCCCTTGTGGTGGGCATTACCACTCTCGGGCGGAAGGGGGGCGTCCTTCCGGCAGAAGCAGCTCTCTGTTGCGCCAGGCGCAGCGCCTAGACACAGTCTGATTCCGGAGCACCCGCTATGTGCTGGGCGCCCTCTCCTGGCGGCTGTGCAGCGGCTCTCGGCTGTCCCTTGGGTGGTCCAGCCCCAGCCCCGCCCTCGACGCGCTGGATGAAGGGTGGGGGAAGGAAGGTCAAGGGAGAGTGCGGTGGTCGCCTGCGAGCAGGCTCGGGCTCGCATCCCTGTGCGCATCCCGACTTCGTACCTGCGGAATGCGGGGCGCTCAGTCCCGGCCAGCCGACTTCTGAAGTCCCCCGCTCCGTCACCGGGGTCCCGCCCCAATCCAGCCTAGGCTCTCCGCTCTGTGCCGGGCTCTTCAGCAGCAGCTGGAGGGGAGCGACTGCCGGCTGCTGCGGGGCGGCGTCTGGGGCCCCGCAAGCCGAGCTCAAGGAGCCGCCATCTGGAGCCTGGCGGCGGGCGGGGCGCGGGTGCTAGGGACCGGCCCTGTCTGCGGGACCCGAGGCCAAGGGCAGCGGCCCGCGCTTTGGAGCAGCGCCTGGTGGCAGCGGCGCCTCGTGGCCTCAGAGCTGGTAGCGGTCATGGGAGGGCGTGTGTGAGGAAGGTATGGCTCCTCGGAGGATCTGAGGTCTGCCCTCCCCAGGTAGCCCAGATTCGGGGCATTCCTTCGGGTAGGAGGAGGTGGCGGAAGCGTGGAGGACAGTCTAGCATCCCTGATCTCCGCGGTTCTCCTAGAGTGGAGACCCTCACCCCAGACTCACGCAGATCCGCTGTCGGTCTGATGTCTCTAGTTTCCCTTGCCTTCCACATAGTTCATCCTACTCGACGAGGGAACTGGAAGACGGTTTTGAATAAAATGGGAGAAGTGAAATATGACTAATTGGACGACACGATAGTGAAATCTCAAGTGCGAGCAACAAGCCCCAGAGGGGCAAACCCTGATTCTTGAGCGCCGACCCGAACCAGGGGACCGGACCTACATGAGGTCACGTGGGCTCGAGGCATGGAGGGGGGAAGGAGTTGGGTTTCAACTCGGGTTCCTAACCTGCCTCAGTGCCTCGGTGCAACCAAGTGCTCCCCAACCCCCACCGCAGTGCCGCCTCTCAGGTCCCCCAAAAGACGTGTTTTTTGGACACTTCCACACTTTATCCAGAACTTGAGACAGACATTTGGGAAAGGTACTTCCCTCGGGAAAACAGACTTTAGTTTCTTAAGGGTGGTGGCAGAGGGAAGAACCAGGGGTCCGAGGAAGCGTGGGACGCTCAGTGCACTTTTTTTTTCTTTTAACAGAGAGGGTGGCCTCTCTCCTCCCCTCCTCTCATTTCAGGTCTCCCAGGAGCTTTTAATTCCTTCTGTACACGTCTAAGAGGTTTCTCTGGCGATGCCAGCCGAGAACAAACCCGAGGAAGTAGCAGGTAAGCGATGGTGCACAGGAGGCCAGGGTACACGTTCCGAGGACTCTATACTTTCTCCAGCGTAGAGCTGTCCCTTCGACATCTTCAGCGTCAGACTCTTCAGGGGTAACATAATGGGGGCTGAGTGAACTTATGGACAGTGAAAGGTAGTCTGAATATAAAAAATAAAATAAAGGGAAGACAGACCCACTCCTACCCCTAGGCATCAAAAGACACCCCCACCCCCAGCTGTCTCGTGTCCGGCAGAATGGCATTATGTAAAAGACCTGGCATGCCACCCAGGGCACATCTGGTAGGTGTAGATGGCATTCATTAGCACGGGGCTCCCACTCTGCGGCATGCCAAAGCTCTGACAGAGATGCCCGCTGCCAATCATTCATTCGCTGCCAATCCCAAAGCGCGGCCGGGTGGGATGGCTCCCTTCCACACTGCCATCAGGACTGGAGGAAACAATGTGTTGAGACACGAAAAGATGAAAGCGGAGCTGAGGATGCTAGGCACCCAGCAGATGTATCCTGTGAGGAGATAACCAGGGAAAGAGTCGTTTAGCAGGAAAGCATATGCAGACTCGCAGGAGGGAGGCTTGGGCAGGGGTGTGCCTCCCGCCTGCCTGCAGCTGAGTGGGGGGTGGGGAGGGAGGCAGCCTCCTCAGAAAATCCCGAGGTTGAGGTTGTTTCTCTGAAAACACAGAGACCCACGTTCCTACCTTAACTGCAAGGCTTCCTTTGCTGCTGTTTGTGTCTTGTGCCTCGGTCATGGTGGTGGCCTTAGAAGGCGTACCTTTTTGGTTTGGGTTTGCATCTCTCAGTCTAGTGCTTTGCAAGGTGGCAGTGTGATGCTGGTCTCACTCTACGGCATGCCTTGCTTCAGTTCCTAAACTTCCACAACAGACAGGACGGAACAAAAGGAGGAAACTGCTTGAGAGGAAAGGAGAATTAAACACAACCCTGAGCAAAGGCTGTCCTTAGGCTCAGGTGTTTGCTAGGTCGTCAGCCTACTGTTTTCCTTCTGACACGCACACTTTATGAACATTATTTTATCCATTCCATATTTAATACAGTTAATAACAAAACCAAGGGATATGTTTTTAAAGATTTACCTATTTTTATATGTATGTGTGCTCTGTCTGTTTGTATGTCTTTATGCCAGAAGAAGGCATCAGATCCTACTATAGACGGTTAGGGGACCATGTGGTTGCTGGGAATCGAACTTAGGGCCCCTGGAAGAGAAGCCAGTGATCTCAACCCCTGAGCCATCCCTCCAGTCCCACTAACTGGTAATTCTAAAGAGTTTGTGGCACTTAATAGAAAGTTCAGCTTGGAACATAAGAATGTTGAGAGCAGTGCAGAGGATGGAGGCTGGGCTTGTGAAGTTTCACAGGGAAGTTTAAAGACACTAAGAGGACCATTTGTTGTTTTTTTGAAGTTAGAATCTGTGGTTCTGTTTTGCTGGGGATGAAGAGTCAGCTGTGATTAACAAGATACCAGAACCTCCACAGCAAAACTTTGCTTTGCTGGAACAATTGATACTGGTCTCCTGGAGCTAAGAGATTAGCAGTGATTCAGAAGAGACCAGCATCACTGAGGTGAAATCTTCTGGGAAGTGTTTCTTGAGAGCACAGGGGAGCTGTGCTCCAGAGTAGGCCAGGGTTGTACCTCCTGCTGGCAGCAGGACTTGGTAATATGTAAGTATCACCAAGTGGTACTGGTTTTGAAGGCATGAAGGGGTCCTGGAGAGCAGCTAAGGCTTGGCACTGGGAGAGGTCAGGAGGGGCCTTTACCACTGGCCCCTTCTGACCTCAGTGGCAGTTGAAGGCCCAGGACCAGGACTGAGGGGTCAGTTGAGGGGGTTTTGTGTCAACATCAGCTAGAATCATCAGAGAGGAAGGAGTTTCAGTTAAGGAAATGCCTCCATGAGATCCAGCTGTAAGGCAATTTCTCAATTAGTGATCAATGGGGGAGGACAAGCCCATCATCGATGGTGTCGTCATCCCAGGGCTGGAGGTCTTGGAGGCTGAGTGGGCCAGGAGAACCAAGTCAGTAAGCAGCACCCCGCCATGGCCTCTGCATCAACCCCTGCTCCACGTTCCAGCCATGCCGGAGCTCTGATTCTGATGTCTTACAATAAGGGACTATGATCTGGAAGTATAAGGCAAGTAAACCCTTTCCTCCCAGACTTGCTTTTTGGTCATGGTGTTTCATCACAGCAGTGGAAACCTTAACTAAGACACAAATGCTTGAAATTTATTAGTGATTTATCAGAAATCCAAATTTAATTGGTAATGGGGGATATCTTTCTGTATATATGTTTCTCTTATTAGTTGATGAAGAAAACACTGATTGGCCAATAGCCCGGCAGAAAGCATAGGTGGGGTAACCAGATGAGGAGAAGGCTGGGAAGAGAAAGGCAAAGAGAGGCCATGAAGAGATGCCATGAAGAGACGCCATGTAGCCGCCAAAGAGTAACAGGTCTGGGCATTCTCTGGTAAGCCAAGACCATGTGAAAATACATAGATTAATAGTTATGGGTTAATAATTAAGAGATAAATAGCCTGGAAGAAGCTTAAGTCATTGGTCAATAGTTTATAAATTAATATAAGTCTTTCTGTGTTTATTTAGGCTTAAGTGGCTGTGGGACTAGGCGGGACAGAAACCTCCATCTTCAAATTGGGTATCTTATTTACTTATTTGCTACATAGAAACATTATTAAACAACTGTGGATGTATTGGTTCATGGTCACACTATAACTACTATAGCTCCAGGTGTCACATAATTATTTTAAGGTTAGAAAAAGGGATGGGACAAAGAACTCTGGCTGTTTGTTTTCATCAGTGAAGGAATGACTATAAGTTTTCATGATTTGACTCTGAGTCACATAGCCATAAATACCAGCAAAGGAGTTTGGGAAAACTAGTCTTCAAAGTGAAAAAAAATATAGGGGTGATGAGGGTTTTGACAATGGGTGATGAGCTACAAAGAGAACCCTTAAAAATGGAATGATAAGGCTGAGCGTTGGTGGCACATGCCTTTCATCCCAGCACCCCAGAGGCAGAGGCAGGCGGATCTCTGTGAGTTTGAGGCCAGTCTGGTCTACAGAGTGAGTTTCAGGACAGCCTCCAAAGCAATACAGAGAAACCCTGTCTCGAAAAGCAAAAAAAAAAAAAAAAAAAAAAGAGAGAGAGAATTAATGTCAGCACCAAGTGAGAATAGATTACCAAGTTTTATAGGCTGAGAGCCTCACAGGAGGAGGCTAATTGAGACATGGCTACCTCCAGAGAGACAGTGGTACAGAAAGGTGGGAATTAGATAGCCACCTCCCCAATGTATCTGTCTTCATAGGGCCCCATTTCATGTTAGTGGAGACTATTGGTTGGATCTCTTGGGAAAATAATCAGCAAGACATTTGGATCAGGCGACTAATCTAGATGAAACAGCTCCTGGGGAAGGGAGTGGCGAATGCTCTCGGTGCCATTCTTGGCCTGCACAATAGTATTATTACCTGTAAATGAAATGCTCCTCTGAGAGCCCCTCCTACAAATTCCCTTTGGAGCAACAATTCTAACTGGAGGTAATTTTTGTTTGTTTGGCTTTGAGATAGGGTTTTGTGACACAGCCCAGTTTAGCCAGGAACTCTTCATCTTCCTGGTTCAGCCTCCAAGTGCTCAGATTCTCCGCTGATATGGAGGTAAGAAAAATCTTAACAGGCTTTTGTGGACTCAAACATTCAAGTGGTTTGCTTTTGTTCTAAAGTTTTGATTTGTGTGTGCACTTGTGTATACTATATGCTTGTGTGTGTGTGTGTGTGTGTGTGTGTGTGTGTGTAGTTGAATGTGGAAGCAAGGAGTTGATGTGGAAGGTGTTCCTCAGTCACTCGTCACCCTTTTGATTTTGTTTTTAAATGGATTCTCTTCTCTTGGTTGGATAGCTAGCAAGCCCCAGACAGGATCCTCTTGTCTCAGCCTTCTCAGTAATGGATTAAAGGTCCCCTGGGACCACATCTGGGTTTTCAAATGGGTGGCAGGGACGTAGGGCCCTGTCACCACACTTGGGTTTTCATGTGGGTGCTAGGGATCTGTCTTGGTTTCTTTTCCTGCCATTGTAATAAAACACCTTAGCAATAGCGACTCTAGGGAGAAAGGGTTTATTTCAGGCCACAGTTCAAGGGTATAGTTCACCATGGCAAGGAAGTCAAGACAGCGGGAGGTTAAGGCTTCCCGTTGTATTCCATTCACAATCAGGAAGCAGAGAGTGATAGACTCTTTGTGCTTAGCTATATACACCTAGGACCCAAGCCAAGGACATGGTGCTGCCCAGTTTGGTGTGCATCTCACCACTTCCGTGAGTTTATTGAGCATAGTCTTTCACAAGAGCATCCAGAGGCCAAACGGTCCCTTATAAGTATGCGTGGTGGCATGTCTGCAACAAAGATTCTGGGTCTCACTGGATCCCAATACTTGCCTTGATGCTTCAATACCAAGCACATTACCAATTGTATCTTTCCAGCCCCAAGCACTCAGGTTGTGTTTTTTCTTGAAGCCTTTCCCTCCCTGAATTCAACATTAAAGAGTCATTTCTGAGTCATTTGGCTGAAGGGCTCTTATCAGCCAAGATCTGGAAGATTGGAAGGTACACCACCCTATTGCTTTCCTTCCTTAGGGGCAGGGTGGTGCTCTCATCATTTTGTGACTTCCTGTCTTAGGATCAGCCTTACTGTGTTTTAGTCACTTGCTGACTCTTTTTCTCAGGACCAGCAAAAGATGATCACCTCACAACAAACCGGTTGCAGAACAAGGGGCAAGTCTTCTGAGACTTCCTTTGGACCCCAGAATGCAGCCACTTCCTCCTCCTGACTTCCCACTCCTATCCTCTTCTGAATCCTAACTAACCCACAGAACACAGTGGTGGAAAAAAGCGTTTCCTTCATTGTAAAGTTAGATGAGAATTGTAGGTGGCATGAGAGGTTGGAATGGGTACTGCAGTTCTAATTCTGTTAGATCTGAAAACTTGAAACACTAAGGTTTACTGTGTTTAACTACAGCAAGACTGGCAATTAGAAGTATACAGCAAAGATAGGTTCATTTTTGTACCTTCTACAGGTGCTGTAAATCATAAATGTAAGTGTGACAGATTGACTTGTGAAAACAGTGTGGAGTGAAAGGGGTAAACTAAACACAAAAGCTTCACTTCTAATAATTTAGAAATAAAGGGACCAGACCCTCATTCAGGCCCTGCTTTAGCAGCCATGACAGGCTACAGAAAAGACACGTAGGCCTCTGACACAAGGAAACTCCAGACCCTCTGGCCTCACAGAGCCTAAGGTCAAAACTAAACACAAAGAAACTCCAGACCCTCCCACCCCCGGCTCCACCCCCCAGCCTCCTAGATGCTTGGTTCCTGGGAACTGTTTGGCCACAAAAGAAACTCCAGGGGGCGATAAAAACCTCCCCTGTAGTCTCCAGGATATCTATGTACATCAGGCCACCTGCAAGTAACAAGACAGTGCCATAGAAAACACAGAATGTTCCCCCTCAGCACTGACCAAATAAAAATAATTGATACATAGGTATTTCATGCCAAAATATGACTTTGAGAAAGGCTCCTAATTGTTCCCAAAAGTCAACCAATCAGAAACCAACCCGTACCTAGTGATGTAATCCTGTAACTTTTGTCTTTAAAACCCTAGCAGTAGAGCTGGGCGTTGGTGGTGAATGCCTTTAATCCCAGCACTCGGGAGGCAGAGCCAGGCAGATCTCTGAGTTCGAGGCCAGTCTGGTTTACAGAGCGAGTTCCAGGACAGCCTCCAAAACAATACAGAGAAACCCAGTCTCGAAAACCCAAGAAAAAAAAAAAACTAGCAGTAGACAGGGAACTTCATTCCTCTGAAGGCTGCTATATCAGCTTGCTAGACAGGGTCCCTGTCATAGTTGGATGAACAATCAATACAATTAAAACCTTGCTTTTACAGTTTAGTGGTTCTGTCTTCCTGGTGGTCTCTGGGGATCTTTGCAACTTGGGCACAACATGGAGAATTCCACCAAAATGAGTTGAAGTTATCTACAAAACGCCAACTATTCAAATAACCTAGACTATAAGGACAAACAGTAAATGAAACAAACACCCAGTGTAATCTAGGAAGAGTCCATAAAAAAGTCATGTTTGTAGTCCTTGAGCCAAGACTATCCTGCTCCTAGCCTCTCCCAGGTCTGCAATGGCTACTTCAGACTGACTGCCCCAGATCTCAGCTCCAGGGCTTTTGTAGGCTCTGGTTTTTCCTCATCCCATCACCAGATGTCTGTGGTTAAGGCTAAGCTTCTAACTGAGTGGCTGGGGTGTAGCTGTCTCCTTATTCCACCTAAACTGTATTTGTGCAATGGAGAGTTTGTCTTGAATATACTATACTGAGAGCATTGGGGCCTGCCCTGGGTCCTTGAAGGACAAGATTACCTACTATGCGGGGAAAGATGGGACAACTACTGGCCTTCATCATTCAAACACTTCTACCTCAGGCCCCCAGCACTCACGGTCTAGAGATTGTGTGCTACCCAGAGGAGCTGGTCCACTGTTTCTATCCCCAACTTACAGACACTTGCTCAGAAATTTTGCCTGAGAAGAGAATCAGGTTATTGTTAGGTCCAAAAGAAACTCCATTTCCCCAAATTCCAACTGTTAGACAAAAGACAGTATTCCTCAGGAACCTGTGAAGCTGGTTCCCTTCTACTAAAGGAGCCATTTCCTTTATCACTGGAAGAAAGGACAGATGCTATCTGTGATGCCTGTTAGCATTTAAAGTATGTGCTGGCCTCCAGGCTCTTTCCAAATCACAAGTACCTGTCACAGATTTCAGGGTCCTTGCTGGCATCCTGGCTCTCCTCAGCTCTTCTCCTCTACCCCAAAGGCTTCCTCCAGTCCTGGAGCTCCCCTCCCCGCAGCTTCTCGCTCTCCTTATAGACCTGTTATTTCATTTTTGCACTCTTAGTCCTGTCTTTGTCTACATCTCTCCCTCTCCCCACCCATCTCCCTCTATCTCTCTGCTCCTTCCTGCTTCTCTCAAGGCCAGGACCAGTCTGCTGGCCACGTCTACTACTTTATCTTTGGACTCTGGACTCTTCCGGATGTCTCTGGCTGTACTCTCCCCTATATGTACAATAAAAAGACTTTCCCCTTAACCATACCAGGGAGTTGTCATGTCATTAATTTATACAGTCATGAGACAGATACTACATTCTACCTTCCCAAGATACTGCTAGTTGAAACAAAATGTAGAATTTTAAGTCTAAGGGC